AGCGCGGATTCCGAGCCAGCAGGCGCTGAGAGTGCCTCTCTCCTGGCGGTAGAGGCAGGCAGCCTCCGAGCCAGCAGGCGGTGAGAGCGGCAGAGGCAGGCAGCCTCCGAGCCAGCAGGCGGTGAGAGCGGCAGAGGCAGGCAGCCTCCGAGCCAGGCTCTCTTACGTCGGGGTATATGCTCTGGTCTCTTGTGGCAGAAGCAGTCTGTTCCTCCTACAGACCACCTCCAGACTACAGCTCTCGCTGACCCCACACAACCAGCTGGCAGTGGCCTTCTCTACAGCCTCAGACAGACCTTTGCAGTGGCCTGCACTGCGAAGTGGAGTTACTGGCTTATTGGGGTAACTTGTCGGATTTAAGGTAGTCTGGGCCAAATTTAAGTGAACGAATATGAAGTTTTTAAACCGTGGTACCTTAAATCCGACAGGTTACCCAGACAAGCCAGTAACCTCGCTTCGTAGTACAGGCCACAGACCTCCGCTGAAGTTCGCTCTCACTCCCATGCGCAGTCAAGGCAGCCAGCTGCTTTGAGACACGCCGCCCTCCGTGCTGCTCCGTGCCCATATCTTGCTGCACGCCCACCCACCCCACCAGCCACCTCTCCGCAGCCCTGGACGCTGTGACATGACGGACGGTGCCTATTTACCTGAGGCCCTGCGTGTCGGGTGACAGCGCTACCGCTACCGCTACCTCACTGACTCATGTGGTGAGTCACTGAAGGCTGCCTGACATATCCCCCCCCCCAGGTGTCCAGCCTCTTTCCCACTCACCCATTTTAATAACGGCCCCCATTATGGTGATAATTCCCCCAAGGTCTTATTTTTATAGAACAGCAACCTGCTGATAAGAAGAAAACCAATAATATGTGACCTAAATTCCCTCGTTTTGTTCCCTCGTTCTGAGCGTGACTCACATCACCACAGCTACAGCAAAACAAACACACGAAACCACCCGGGGCGAACCCACGGCCACGGCGGCGATTACCGCGCCTTTAAAGAGAAACAAAGGAACAAACGTGACACAAGAGGAGTCCCAGCCTGCCCTTGTACGCCAAACCCACACAGCTAAGTACACGGCTGCTGCAGAACTCCCACGATCCCGCAAACGCGCCAAGACACAAACACGTAGCAGCTGTGGTCATCTCATACCAAGGGGTTAACCAAAAGAAACTGATTCTCGAATATGCGCATATAAAATCGCTGACAGAAGGGGGCGCTAAAAATAAAAGTGGCATGACAGGGCTGCCCTTGCAGGGCTTCAGGGATGGGGATCCAGAGGAAAATCTTCTCATCCTTCCCCAAGTGACAATATTTTTTTTTAGAATGATTCTGTAAAATAACTACCGCAGTTCTGTCGCTATATACAATGTACTAATGCAGCCCAAACAGAGTACGAGTACAGCAATGAAGATCGATACATGACAACCTGTTTATTAGTCATGTTTATTTTTCCTCCCTAGAGTCAGTGCAGAGGATGGCTTTAGCATTAGCACTGATTCGAGATCAGCAGGACGCACTTGGGAAGCTGGAGAGCGCTTTCATAACGAACTGCCACCTTTAGATGCATTTAAATCAACACAATGCAGAATTCAACACAACAGCAGGATTGCTTCTAGTATTTAGGAAGACTGCGCTGATCTAGCAGGTGTCTCAGTCAGCTCTCAGCCAAGTCACACACTAACTTACACTCTAAAAATACAGTGATGCTCTCTGCACATACGGTACAACCAGCACGTGAGCCTTCAAGGAACTCAGCAGGTGAAAAAGGCGTCGCCGGGTTTGGAGAGGCCACTAACGACTATCTTTCTATGGATTAATCTATCGACTATTTCATTGATTGTTCAATTAATCTAAATGATTAATTTTCCTCTAGAAAATCAAACAGACCGTTTAATTAAATTGTATTTTGACAACAACAAACTATATGCTATTGCAGGCCTTTAGATAATGCAGGCCTTTAGATAATGCAGGCCAGCTTTTCTGCACTATATGGACATTATTTTTCACCAGCAATTCAATAAGCAAATTATTAGTATGCCTAAAATATTAATAAGATGCATATTGTGACGCCCAAAAGTTAATAATCTGTATAAATTTGCCATGTGTTTATGCTTATTAAACTTAGCAGGCCACATGCGACTGCTTTGCTAAATCATGGACACGATAAGCACTGAAGAGCAAAGACTCAGGCTGCCATCTCACACCGATTGCCTCCAGTGCGGCAAACACCAGCAAGACGCCGCAAAACCTCGGCCACACGCTCTGCTCACTGGCTCGGTAAGCAGTCCTATCCTTCAGAAAGCTGCTGGATGTTCGGGCAGAATGTTCTGCCCGCTGCATCTTGTTCTCATTAGCGTTTCCCCTGGCTACAGTGTGTGTACGTGTAAAATTACAGCACCCCAAGTGACTCATTCCAGAGTGACTCATTCTTATCGGAAATGGGGAATTACCCACTGTCAGGTTTCTTATTTGTTAATACTTCTTCGTGCCTGCAGCTGATCAAGCTTCCCACCAAGAAAGCATCATGTATCAAAAGGCTGCATCAAACCCCCCCCCCCCCGATCTACAAAGTTACTTTAGATACATGTGGCTGCATATCATAACATTAGTGCTTTTCTGTGACTGTAATAGGAAGACAAATGTTGGGACACCAGGCCATTACACCTACAGGAACTTTTATGGCATCCCATTCTACATCCACAGGCATCAGTATGGAGCTGGTCCCCCCTTTGCAGCTATAACAGCTGCCACTCTTCTGGGAAGACTTTCCACAAGATTTTGCAGCGTCTGTGGGAATTTTTGCCCATTCATCCAGAAGAGCATTTGTGAGGTCAGGCACTGATGTTGGACGTGAAGGCCTGGCTCACAGTCTCTATTCTAGTTCATCCCAAAGGTGTTTGATGGGGTTGAGGTCAGGGCTCTGTGTGGGCCAGTCAAGTTCTTCTACACCAAACTCACCCAACCATGTTTTAATGGACCTTACTTTGTGCACTGGGGCACAGTCATGTTGGAACAGAACTTTACAGTTGGCACAATGCAGTCAGACAGGTAACGTTTTCCTGGCATCTGCCAAACCCAGATTCATCCATCAAACTGCCAGACAGGAAAGCTGGATTTGTCACTCCACAGAACACGTTTCCACTGCTCCAGAGTCCAGCACCAGTGTGCTTTACACCACTGCATCCAGCGCTTGGTGATGTGAGGCTTGCATGCAGCTGCTCAGCCATGGAAGCCCATTCACTGAAGTTCCCAGCTCTCAGTGCTGGGGTTAATGCCAAAAAAAAGTTTGGAACTCTGTAGTTACAGAGTCAACAGAGCGCTGGGGACTGTTACGCACTATCCATCTCAGCGGTCAGTGACCTCGCTGTTACTTCATGTGGTCCTGCCACTTCGTGACTGAGTTTCTAAAGGCTTCCTCTTTGCAATAACACCACTTACAATTGACTGTGGAATATCTAGCAGGGGAGAAATTTCACAACCTATGACGGTATCATGCTTGAATTCACTGAGGTCTTCAGAACGACCCATTCAGTCACAAATGTTTGTAAACCTGACTGCATGGCTGGGTGCTTGATTTTACACACCTGTGGCAATGGGTCTGATTGAAACACCTGAATTCAATGTCTCAAAACTTTTGTCCATGTAGTATACTTAGGTACCTTACAAAAGAAGGCCTCAGAGCAGAGAAACAAGCCCTTCAATCTATCGATCAAGGCTGACAGCAGAGAGTAGCAGGCAATAATGACATTACAACAAAAAGGACCACAAAGACTGACCTCTAGTCAAAGGACACCATCTAACAGCACAGAATACAGCAAGCAGGAGCCTTATGCTGAAATCCCAGATTGGACGAAGAGACAAAAATCGATGTCACCAGATGAGGTTAAGGAGAAACACGTGAAGGTGTAGAACCTCCCGATCACACAAATTATAATAACGATCAGAAAAATCTTAGTACTTGATCAAAAAAACCCTTGTAATCAACAATCAGCATTGCACTGAATACGAAATACTTGATAGAAAACTAAAGAGTTTGATAGAATACTAAACACCTAATTATTTGGGTAATTATACATTCCAGTTACAACTACTGAATATTTATTTTGCTTTGTTCATCATCAAAAAATGTCATACGTATCTAATGCATTTAATTTTTTATGCATCTGAAATGAGGAATTAGTATGGGCTTGCTGACGTCAAATTACGCTTCACTGAACAGAACTTGATCGGCAAATGCGAAATTTCGTGCCACAGAAAGTGCCAGAATTTCCATCTTCAGAGAATTGTGTAATACTCTAAAGTTCCATGTTAAACAATGGCTCATGCCAAAGAATCAATGTGTTTCACTGAATCAGAAAGCTGAGTTTGTATGACTGCTGTCAAGCAACAGCACTGACACATATCAAAAAAAATGAAGATCTGTCCAAAGCACATGATCGGGGCAGTATGCTTGGTGTCACGTGAAATAAGGCCTGGTTTAGCTCACATTTTCATCAAAATGAGCCCATCTGCAGCCAGAGTGGTGAACCTTAATGGCTTAATGTACATATATGGCAAACGGCTAACCTGCTACAATTCAACACACCCTGAGTAGTAAAAGCGAATTAGTTCAGAGTCACACATGATCGCATCAAACTCAGAGCTAGGTCGATTATCAAGTTCCAAGATCAGATTGGGTTTCTTCTGACACAACTTGAAAGAATAACAAAAAGTTACAATTATTATAAATAAAGGACTGTAACATTAGAGATAGTAGATAAGGAACTATGTGTTATCGAATGACACAATACTACTTTAAACAATGCGAGTGCGTGGTGTGGATGAAACAAGGAAGAGTCCTTTCAACCTGAAGGTAAAAAAAAAAAACTGCTTAAGACATGAATAAGGCAGTGAGTGAATTTAGAGGTGATGCATGTGTGTTGCATTCTCAGCACGCCTGAGCGTGCATGCATGCATAATTGCTTGCAGGAAGCATAAAGGGCTGGAGCCTGTGTTTGTACCTGCAACAGGTGTTCCCCAAAGGCATTAACTTCACAGAAGGCATGAAGGATGAACGGCAGCTTCAGTGACGGGCTTCCACCCAGAGCAGCCAGACAGTCAGCCAGTGTCTCCTGCCTCTGGAACTGAAGCACACCAAAGAGGGACACGTGCATGAGGAGAGCAGCCTGCAGCGTCTCCGGGGGGGGGGCAGCGGGCCATGGGGGGTGTTTAATCAGTCAGGCTGGCTTTTAACACCATGCCAGCAACCAGGGCTATATTCATGGCATTCGAATGAACAGTAAAACCAATTAACAAATAATAAAGGTTAAAAATTGCTACCAACAATCAAAACAATCTAAAGATGTTTAAGATTAGGTTTTAATAAAAGAACAGAAAAGGCCTCTGGCTTGACTTTACTAGAAACTTCAGTTGAGCCAGGAAAATGATCAAAACGCCGCAGGGAGTTTAAAGAAAAACAAAACAACGAGTGTAACATGTAGGACATTTGTGACATTTGTTCAAGGTGTGATTTCACAGGGGAGTGATCACATGACCACTCATCCTTACCAATGGCAGATGACGTCATACACCAGTAAACTGACACTATTGCTATTACTGCAGACAGATGATTAAGAAAAAGACTAAATGTAAAGATAATCTTATGAGATCCCACAAATCCTTATGGGGACTTGTGAAAAACATTGTAATACCATCTCCTGACTGCTGAAATGAAGGCACGCAAGCATCAGCAAATCCCTACAGCACAGAGAAACACATGAAAACACGGTACAGAGAGCTGTAAACGTGCCCTTTACAATCTCCATTCCCCCCTCGCCTTGCTGATACCGTAGCTGCGAGCATGCGAGCATCCGCCCGCCGAGGACCCAGCGCTGACAAAGACCCGAAGGCCACTATCATTTAAGCAGAGAATCCGCCCTAATCGTCTGCAAAGGTCACTTTCCGAAGCACGGCTGCGCTATACGCTGCTGACGGAAATGCGCTCCAGTACGCTCCCTCGCAGCCCCAGCTGCATGAAGACCAACTGCCCAGTTCGACGCCTGTTTGCCTGCGCAAAGCGCTTAAGGGTGGTGGCATGTTCTATGTAAAATCTGACTAATGTACTAGGACAGAACGGACAAGACAGATACTTTATTGATCCCAAAGGTAATTAAAATTCTAAAAAAAATTATAAAATATACTCACTTATTCAAATATAGGCTCACAATGTGATACAGAACCCAAGCTTCATATGTGCCTTGTGTTCTGCGATACGCAGAAGTCAGAGAGAGTCATTCCAGGATTTAAGGAGATTCCTTCCAATAAGCCATAAACAGGAAGATGAGCAGGACTCTGTAACATGGGGCACAAATGACTGGTCCTTGTAAACACTTAGCAAGTCAAACTAGAGACTGCAACTGGTAACCTGTGTGTGTAAAAGAGGGAGGGGCCAAGGCACTAACATCAGGTTCTGGGTGAGGGTCTGATATAACGACCACCCCCTGAACGTAAGGACATTCAAAAGGTGCGGGTTATGATCATTATGAATTACTGAACAGCAGAAATCTTATACACATTTGACTGCTTATAGAAAAAAAAAAATCTTATGCTGTACAAAATGTGACAAACGAATGTGGCTGTTAGGCAAAACACCCACACACAACCAGGCAAGCAGCCATCCCCTAAACAAAAGTAGAAACGGGAGCTTTCTCCAACGACTGGCGCGGAAAAGGAGTCTGTTCCGATCGTGTGTGACAATTGAGCAAGACTGGGCCTTTATAATCTGCAATTCTCTCTGGCCAATCAGGGCGCATTGGGCTTCAGGTGCTGACATCCCCACAGCGCTTAACCAGCCAGTTAGAGGCAGGCCTATCAGGGGCAGCAGAAACATCACACCCGCTGAAGGACGAGACACAGAGCATCAACCCCCACTTCGACCCTGCTGGCCATTCTGATTGGACGTGGCTCTGTCAATCATCCTCGTGGCACGCCTGGGCCTGGCTGAGTAACCCAGGAGTGTCACCGTGTGCCCAGTGATTTCAACACTGTGTGCTCCACCAGGGAAATCATCAGTGATTAAAAAGGGGCACTGAAAACCTCGAGAGGCGCGTGGGCACGCTATAGCCAGCTGGAGTCGGTCCCTCTGCCGCCATTTCCCTCCTCTCTGCTGCCAAGACTCACTCTGCTGCAATCCAAGACCCAAGACCCACACACAGCTCACACAGGTGAGGCCCTGTGAGAATAGCAAGCTGGCAGCTGATACTGCAGGGCAAGCTCGCCTCCCTCTCCTACGCCGTCTCCAGACGATTAACATGCTGCCTCTAAAAGGACACTTCGCGGTGTGAAAGGACGCCACCTGGCGAGAGTCCAGGCCACAAGAGAGCAGCTGCAGTAATGCAGGTCACCTGACAATGAATACAGGAAATACTGTAAGTAAATAAAGCCTGGTGAAGCTTACAGTTGTGGTCAGAAAGTTACATACCCTCATCAGGGGCATGAATGTCATTAATTTTGGGTTTTTCATTATTTATTTGAACTATTCCTTTTCCAGGGTGGAATGATTATACAACGTACATCTTCAATGATTTTTAAAAACAAGAATTGGGCGCACAAGTTCAAATACATTTTGGATTTTCTGCAATCCACACAGGCTCAAATATACACACACGCCCTCTAATATTGGGTTAAATGACCCTTAGCAAGCTGCACCTTGACCAGACGCTTTTTGTAGCCATCAACAAGCTTCTGGCATAATTCTGGCTGGATATTTGGCAGAACTGGTAGAGTTAATTTAAATTGGTTGGCTTCCTGGCACAGACCTGGCGTTCAAGCATAGCCCACAAATTTTCAATAGGGTTGAGGTCGGGGTTTTGGGAAGGCCATTCCAGAAGCTTAATGTTAGCCTGCTTTATCCATTCCAAAACCAGTTTTGTGGTGTGTTTGGGATCATTTTCCTGCTGGAGCACCGAATGGCGTCCAAGTTTCAACTGTCTAGGTCAGGGGTCTCCAACTCCGGTCCTGGAGAGCTACCGTACAGTAGGTTTTCCATCATACCCGGCTTTTGATGAGTCACATCTGTTCTCAGGTAAATACCAGGAACAGGTGTGACTCATCAGAAGCCAAGTGGGGCAGAAAACATAATGTATAGTAGCTCTTCAGGACCGGAGTTGGAGACCCCTGGTCTAGCTGATGATTTGAGGTGAAACTTGTGTAAATCTACAATTCTCCTTCTTAGATCTTCACGGTTCCATGGACTTTCCCATTGTTCTGAGTATTGATCAATCCAATGAGTGCCGTCAAACAAATTCAAACTTGTGCATCCAATCCTTGTTTTTAAAAATCATTGAAGATGTATGTTGCATAATCATTCCATCCTGGAAAAAAAGAACGATTCAAGTAAATCATCAAAAGCCCAGAATTAATCAAACATTCATGGCCCTGATAAGTGTATGTAACCTTCTCACCACAACTTCACACAAATGCCTTCATGTAAATGAGGACTGATCAACCAGACTGGTGAACTGCAATGGCCTCATGCACGTTACGTACTTATCGACATTGAGAAATTAAAACTTTTGCCACTGACTTCATGATGTCAGATGGAGGCAGATGCAGTAATTGAACAGCTTGTTCAACAGAAGCTTCTTGGGTTTATGAAAACAGAATCAAACTAGCAGCCAGGACTATATTCTTGTCTAAAAGACCAAGAAGGGGCAATAGACACACGGACAGATATCGTTATTTAACCTTCTTGCAGAGGTACAGGATTTAAAAGGCTGGTAGCTGCTGGCTGGATCTGAGTCAGCGTTCCTCTCACAAAAGCACTCGTGCTCCATCTGTAACAGAAAACCTTTTAATGATAGAATTAATCCAACGACACGCCTCTTTAAAGGAGCGATTACCCAATGACAGAGCAACCTATTAGGAAGGTTGGAGACTAAGGCGGAAAAGGGGCAATTTGGAGAGATCCAATCTAAATGGGTATCAAGAGACACTGGGGAATAGACGGCATCTAATAAACAAAAAAGGCCAATATAAAGTTAACAATGGATTTACTACTAGAGCAGCAGAATCATTATTAAAGCAGAACAGCAGCTTCATCGCTCCTAAATCACCTCAAAGCACATTCAGTCTGCAATACTTTCAAATTATGACTTAAATGACAATTTCAGTTACATATACAAGGGCACCACTGAATCCTAAAAACATCATCACTGCACTCAGGACACGCGGACATTGCTAAGGTTCTCTCATCTGGAGTAAATTGAATTGTTGGTGACTTCCTGGCCTTCAGCACAGTTTTTACAGTCTGTCAGTGGACACCTCCACAGCGTCCTCCGTTGTAATAATATTCATGCTTTTTGTCTAAATCCGTCAGTTTAATCTAATCAAGTCTGATAACCTAATCTCACAAAATATAAACTTCTATAATCACATCATCAACATGATCTGACAGCACCTGCTCCGGCCAGCATATCTGGGTTTGTCCATAGTAATTTATCTGAATGGCAGATCCTCTGTTAAAAAAAAAAAAAAAAAAAATGGCAGATCCTCTGTTAAAAAAAAAAAAAAAAAAAGTGCCTGGATGATGAATTTTCAAATTCAGGCTAAAAGCCGTTATTTAGTAGTGTACAGTGTCCTTGTGGAGAGAGAAAATGCATTTGCAACTTTAACTGGAAAACGCAAGGAGCTGAGAAGCCAGGAAATCGAACGGCTAACAGTCGTTTCTTAAGTTCTCCTCAGATCTATAAAAGTGGACGGAAGCTGCTTCAAAGGCTCGAACCCAGCACCAAATTAATCACTCATACTTCATGCTCCAAGAGCTTTTAATTGATTTAACTTTTTTTTTACCACTTCAAGACTTGGCCTTAAACGATATCATTAAAAAAGATTACGCGTACATTGCAGGTCTTAAACGTAAGGTCGAACAATCCAAAATGCTGATAACAACTATACTGTAGTTATTCGGAAGTACTGTAGCGATGCACTATTTCAATCTCAGACTGGTTATTTTAAAACAACCAAGAGCGCCATCCACAGGTCACAAGTGTGAAAACTACACTGTGTACAAAATTATTATGCAAGTCTGTATTCTAATGGAAAATCATCTCCAAGAGCTTTTTCGTCAACTAAAAACCATATTAACTGCATTATTCACTTAGTGTAAACATTTTCAGGTGATTTAATGGCTTTATTAGGAGAGGGTCCGGCTTAAAGTGAGGAAAAGGCTTAAATTCAGGCGTGCAAAGTTGTAAAAATGGGTGAAAAAGGAGACCTAACAGAAGATGAAAACACAAAAATAGTTAACTGGCTTTCACAGGGCTACCAAACCACTGAAACTGCGAAGGGGCTGAGTCGCGATCACGAGACCGCAGAGACGCAAAAAGCGCGTCGAGAAGAAATTACGCAAATTAACTAGAGACCTGAGAAGAATTAAACAGGAAGTATGCAGGAAGCCTTTAGCTTCAAGTGCCACCATCTTTCAGAACCGCAAACTTCCTTTACACTGCAGGAGTACAAGCTGCAAAGTGCTTCACATGATTGGCAGGGTCAGAAAGGCATTAAAACGGCCTCCTTTAAATAATAATCATAAGCGTCAAGAACGGGTAAAGAAATATATGAAGAGAGATTTTTCAAAGGTTTTGTGGACGTATGAGATGCGTGACCCGGGTTGGTCCTGATGGGAGTGGCCATGGCTGGGTTGCTGACCGGCATTGCACACCAAGGGGGGGGGAGCGATAATGATATGGGCTGGAATTACCAGCAGTGAATTGGTTGGACCATTTCAGGTGGAAGGCAGCTCGAAAATGAACTCCAGAAACGACTACAAATTCCTGGAGGACACCTTCCTTAAGCAGTGGTATTCAAAAAGTGCACGATACTGATGCAAGACGATGCTCTATCTCATGCATGGAAATACA